TACTACCAATGCGTCTAGTAGCTTCACTTTCGAAGGATATTTTTACCGGAAGCGAAACCGTTCATTATTCCATCTTTTTCGGTAATCGCCGCTCTCGAAGTCTCTAAATCTTTTCATTTTTGTTCGATGTTGACCATGTTTTTGCGCCATTTAAAAGAACCGCCCTGCTGAGATATATTTAGAGCGTAATTTTTATTCCTCGGTCGGTGTTGTGATTTTCCATTGAACGGTTCTGAGAAATTCTTCCTATATAGAAGTTGAGTTCAAAATCACTCTCATAGCCGTAATAGCTTTGCTTCTTAAAGCTCAACCAGCCACCGACGGAGCGCCCTTCCGTACCTGCCGTCTGTATCAACATATCGCACACCGTCTTCAAAAGAGACACAACTCAAAATTTGGCATTTTTGAGATTATACACTAAAAATGTTCGCAGAGCTTTTATCTCCTTTCAGCAAAAGCTGGAGCAAATTTTTGTTATAATTTGTTAAAAAAACTAAGGTAAAGCCGCCCTTGCCCATATGATTATCATGTGCTAAGAAATAGTTTTTCGCATTTTCTGACAAACGTATTATTTTGAGTTGTGACTCTTTTGAAGACGGTGTGCGATATGAAGTTGCTGTTATAGAGAGAGCCAGAAGCAACGACAACATCACCGTAACAGTGCTGCCAAAAGTAGTACCATAGGAGTTTTTTTCACTACTATTTTCTCATTCAAACTCCCGTACTACCCAAAGATCGATTGTACTACTATGTCAGTGATGACAGGTAAGTCTCAGATGGGTTATAATATCACAAAGTAGTTTTTGTTAAAATTCCAGATAGAGGGTATTGAAGATAAGCCCTCGAAATAAATACTCTTATACTATACTCGCATAGTCATACAAAAATTTACCCGCCCTAATGTAAATACATACACTATAGATGCAGTTTAATTGAATGCAAATACTGGCAAACATAATTGAATATAACATTTGCATATAATGAGGCATTCTCGAAAGATTATATTTATGAACATTGTTTCACATGATTCAGTATGAAGTATGAAATAATTACTTGTGCAAATACTCTCACGACTGTAATAAGGAGAATGTCTACGCAAGTATATGTGTCAGTATTTGCATTTTGCCATATACGGACACATACTAACAAAACGACATGTTATATTTTCATATACCTATTTTAGTAGATAAAGATGAGGTGAATTTACACTATCGCACAGTAATTACTATTCATGAACTTTAGCTATTTTAATTAGCAAACTCTAATACCGAGTGAAGTGCACGTGATTACTGCATTGAAATGTTTTCATGAATATTATACATAGTAAAATAGACTTGACTGCATTGTTAATCTAATCTGAAAATTTAAATTTATTAATTGGCGCTGTACCTCCCTTAGCGATTTTGGCCGCGTCCAATAAAACACGTCAATAGTTTCTCTTCTGAATCAATTGTCGTCAGACCCATTCATTTTGCTTCCATATCTTTCTCAATTATAAGGGAGCTGATAGTATTGGGCAACACCATTTAACAAATTCATAGTAGCTTCACGGGGCTCCTACTTAAACTCAGACATCGCCTCAAATGGTCACTATCTTTTCGTACTATCGAAGGCAGCTTTTAAATCCAAAAAGGTATGGTGATTGTTGGTCCTCCTCTGACGGGTTTATTTATGAAGTGCCATCATATTGGGAACGAAAAAGTGTCAAACGGAGAAACTATCTGGTGCCATGTGAAGTAAAATAGTTAGAAAAATTTCCTGATTTGAGCCAAATTGGCAGTCATGCACATTCAACAGAATCAATCAGTTCATTGATGGTGGTCTTTAGCCTTTCACACAATACGCTTGACATGACATTACATATATGTGATGTTTAGAAAGCTGATCACCCGGTAGGTGGCACAAATCGATTGCCCCGGGCTACTTTATCTCAACTGGTCGATAGCCATCAATGGATCCAGCTTGAAGGACGTGCAAAAGACTATCTTAACTCGATGAACTATCCTAACATTGTGTTAACTCAGCGCTGTCAGACAGACGATCCTATCTCAGCTCTGGCAAAGAACTATCTTAACTCAGTCCAGCAGATATTTTGAGTTTTAACTCAATAGCTTTACAGCTTAACATAGAGATCTGCAATGTTCGTTCTACTATTTTCAAAAATAAGGTACCAAATTAAAGGACTTGGCAATGAGGTTTTTTTGTTTTTGAAGTTAGAACTTATTTTGCGGTACATGGTGATTTGAAATTTGATAAAATAAAAAACCAACAACAACCAACGGTATGCATGTATGTCCATAACGCATACTAAAAAGTTGTTGAAGATTAATTAATTAATTTTAAGGACTCAATTTGGATTGGCTTGATGCAAAAACAAATTTCCAATTATTTTAGCGTTTTAACGCAATACGGATTCATTAACTCCTCGCCGTCGCACTTGAATAGCTCTGCTTGGAGGCCGTTAGCTTCAGCAGTTTTTTTTTTTTTTTTGAGTTTTCTTCGACTCTTTTCCATTTATCGCTCCATGAGTCAAATATGTTCTGGACATCGGTCACTAAGCCTCAGTAATTGTTCTTACAGAGATTTGGCTTAGTCTTGAGTCTTTCCGTAAGACACTTAACACTCTGATAAAGTGTTCGGGTGTTTTTATTTCGGCCAGCATATCAAGCTCTTCGCACCTATGTACGTATTTAGGAGATCTATTTTTATTATAAAATGCAGATCATTAACGAATAAAAATTAATTTGGTGAATATTTTCATGGCAGAAATGCAAACTGGGGCTGCCGAGGGTGACTGAAATGTGAAAAAATGTTATGTTGGTCGAATTAGGCGTCAAACGCCTGCATCTCTATACAGTCGGAAACGGCAGCTACACGAAATAGATAAGGCACATTTGCTGCAAGAGTGTCATAATCCAAAAAAACCAAAAGCTCGAGAAAAACAGCTTTATATGTATTTATGTATTTCCTCGTGTAGTATTTATACGTTTATGGCACATATGTAATTCGAGTTTTGTATATCTGTCGCTCTGGCTGAGCTGCATGTATTTATTTATGCCTACACATACATATGTAGATGTGTGTATATAATAAATATATAACCTACCTAAAACTGCAAAATAAGCAAAGTGTGCCGATTGAATGAAGCGTAACGTTTTGCTCCAAAAATCCTTCAAATTATAACTAAAAGTTAATTGCAAACTATAAAGTAACCGCATAACGGTCTAAAATGATTTAATAAAGAAAGAGGAAATCCAAAAAGTAAAACGTGTGTTGCAAATAAGTTGTAGAGCAATACTGTTGTAGTAAACTAAAAGTAATATGCTGAAAATAAATTAGTTTCGACATATACAAATTAAATCAAAGGTCTTAACTTACTCTAAAGGAATATAGGGTCATAGTTTTGGTAATAGTCACTTAATGCGAAAATACATTCTGCTTTAATCGGTGAAGTAGTTTCCGAGATATATATGTATATAGTCATGTAAAAAAAGTTGGGAACACGACATTTTGGCCAACTTTGGCTATTCTTCTTTCGATTGGTCAATTTTTATTAGCCTTTAATAAATAAACAGTTCATTATCTGACGAATACCATATAAGTTCAAATTTCAAACTTTGTAGAAAAATTAGAAAAATTAAACAGAGCTTTACACAACAACCAACTTTTTACTAAGAATTTTTAGAAAAAAGTGGCTAAGAATTCGCGTTGATTTTTGATAATTCTTAGTTAAAAGTTTATTGGTGTTGAAAAAATTTTGTTGAATTTTTCTAACGCCAAGCGGTTTCAGTAGAAGTAATATAAAACCAACTAACCAACCAACTGCATTGTTCTCTAATTCCAAGTTTAATTAGACAAAAGTGGTTACGCATATCGGCACTTTGCTTTTGATTTATGAAATAACGACACTAAAACTTACAAAAATGGCAAATGAATAATGAAGTAGACACTTGTAGATTGTTGGAATAAGTATGTATGTATATATGTACAGTTGTATGTATCAATACGCCCACTCAGTCGATTGCACTGAATTGCAGCCCACACGCTCACTTCACATACTCTTCCGCAGCCACTCAGTCATGGATCATTCTCAGCTGTTGAGGTGAAACCATCATTATAATGATGGTATTACAATGCGAGCAAAATGCAAAATGATACAAATATATGTTACCTATATATGTACATATGTATGTATGTACATATATACGGATCATTTTTAATAACAACTGCAAACGTATGCAGACAGCAAAACAAGAAAACAAAAAATTGCCGTTCATCACGAAGCGATTGTGATGCAGCGGTTAGTTGACAACGTCAACCGGTGTGTTCACAACAATCGTGGGCTTCTGATGTTGTTGACTGTGGAATGAACTGACTGAATAAATAACGATGACTGAAAAATATTGCGTGACAGTTCAATAACCTAAACCGAAGAAAATATCAGACAGACATAAGGCACTTTTGTATGTACTTGCAGATATACATACATACATACATACTTATATACTACTTCGGTTAAGTAAATATTCGGTTGTATTCGCACTCATGCGGAATTATTACGGTAGCACACTAGTAACGAACGGGCTCTTAAGATAGGTACATAGCTTTTTCGAATTTTCTTTTTTTTTGTTTTAATGATATCTTGAAGCCCACTTCGTTATTCGAGATCGTCATAGCAGGAACATAAATTCAATCAAAGCTATTGAAAATTGTAATGTAATTGTTGTTAATTAACTGCATATGGCAGAGTCTAATACTTAGTAATATCTACTAATTGTATGTTTGTAAAGCGTTACTGTCCGCAATAATGCTTGTTTACTTAGTACTTAGCAGCTTGTCGGCCTATTTTAATTTTTTTCTAGTTGCATGTATTTGATATTAGTTAAGTTCGAAACCGTTTACATTTCGCATTATTTAATAAGCTACTTTTTTTTACTTATTTACCGATACTTTCATATACCGATATGTACGTATAACACTTCTTTTTTGTTTTCTTTCAGTTTGTGGTCAACCTGCTGTGCCACTTAATGCTAAAGTACAGACCATATCCGGGGATGCGGGCATAACAGAGGCAAAATATGAATGTGATTCAGGTTATGAGCTTTTTGGTCCACGCACTATCAAATGTGATCCGTTTAGCGGTTGGGAGCGTGAGTTGCCATTTTGTGGCACAAATGTAGCCTATCGTAAGCCGGTCAATCAGAGTTCGTATACGCGTGCGGGACCGGCAAATTTCGCTAACGATGGCAATCCGGGTAATAAGGTAAATATATTTTTCTCGAGTCTTGGTGGAAATATTGTTTATTGTTCCATAATTGACACATTAGGACCGGTGTATTTTTTCTCGATTTTGTTGTACACAAACCACACACGTTAGAGTATAGCTATTAAGTTAATAGCGAGGCGCATTTCTTCCATATAAAAGTTTTGTCCAGCAATGGTAGAGAAGGCATGATACTGAAAAAAAAATAATACAAAAATAAATTGTCAAAAATCAACGGCATTTTGTAGCCACTTCAAACTCTTACTTTGTTATACTAAAATTTAATGGGCTACGAAACTGTATACCCTAAATTTTTCTAGAAATATTATTAACTTATTCACTGCAGTTTATTAGGATAGCACACCCCTTTGTTGACAATTTTTTTAAATTTGTATAAAATTTTAGAATCGGATTTACATAGAATATGCTACATTTTTATAAAAAAAAATAATGAATACATATTAAACAACCAAAAGGAAAACTTTACATACGCAGGATCAAAAAGGTTTGTTAACAACTGATGGTTACTTTGTTTTGAAATTATAACTAAAAGCATTTGGTCAAATGAGGAATTATATTGATTACGTAAATTATTCATTATTCATCAAAATTAATCAAATTCTATTTGCATTTAAATCCCATTATTCCAGAACCCAGATGGCCAGCAATGTTCTGAAACACAAAAAGAACCCTCGCCATGGTGGCGCGTTGATCTGTTAGCTCCACAAGCTGTACGCGTGGTACGCATCACAACACGCGGCTGTTGCGGTCATCAGCCACTGCAGGATCTGGAGATTCGCGTGGGCAATAGCAGCGCAGACTTGCAACGCAATCCACTATGCGCCTGGTATCCCGGCACTGTGGAGGAGGGCGTCACTAAGACATTTTCATGTGCGCGTCCACTAATCGGCCAATATGTTGCCATACAATTGGTGGGTGTGGAGGGCAGTTTGAGTTTATGCGAAGTGGAAGTCTTCACCAATGATGAATTCTCCGTCGATCGCTGTCTTAGTCCCAATCTGAGTGTGGAAACGGTGTTGACAACATTCTCGAAAACTTGCTACGAGTTTCACGTGACCAAGGGTGAGAATTTCGAGAAGGCGCAGCAAATGTGCAAATCAACGGGTAAGTGTGAATATGTTAATTCACTTATTGGCACAAATAAATAATAAGTAAATGTGTTATTCATTATTTTGCACGAATTAACATCAGCAAGTTGCAAGTTTTTTGCTTATTTGTTACACCATTACTTACCAAATTTTTTGTAGGTGGCAATTTGGTGCACGATTTTCGTGGCGCTGCCAATGATTATATACTCTCCGAATTGGAACGCCGCAAATCAGAACTAAAGACACAGCTGGTGTGGATTGGCGCACAGAAGGAGCCCGGCATTACTTCGCGCACCTGGAAATGGGTTAACGGTAAGCCAATGGGTTTTGTTTGTCTCATAAATTTTTATTTAATTAAAATTTTACACTGCAAAAATTATGTTTCGCACAAGCAAAAAGTACATACGATATATACATATGCATGTATGTAAATAACTGTGTATTTATGTATGCACAAACTTTTGAATTTAATTTATTAAGAGTAGGTATGAACATTTGCTAACTTTAAACCTTTTATTTCATGTACATTCATATGCATGTGTGTGTGTATGCAGTTTTAACATTTGTCGTGACGCGATGAAATTAGCAAACTTGAAATTTATTATATTGTTGAAATTTCTTCGGACTCGTCTGCTTTATATTTTAACATTTTTTTTGAAGTTTTTATGGCAGCAACAAATAAATATCTGTTTTTTGTTTGCTATAAAAACCGGTTTTATTTTATTTTAATCATAATTTAGTGACACACACACCTAAAAAGGCTGAAATGCAATGTTTGCTTTGAAGAGTGACAGCGAGAAAATTATACCGGCTTAATTGAATGCATAAGCTCACCCTTATCAAAAAAAAAAAAAAATCTTGAAGATCAAGAAACCAGATTCGAATTTGGTCAGTGGGTTGCTAATAAAATTGTTGAAATGTTTGCCGGAATTTAAATCCCAAATTTCAATAAAATACAAATTAATTATTTTTTTGCAAATGCAAATGGATTGTAGACGAGAGCGATTTATAAAATCCATGACGGCCGTAAAGTCGTTAAAGGTGCGTCCTAATACTCGGTAGGACTCTGGTTAAAAAATTGTCTACCTCGCCAAGTGCAAAATGTCAAACCATTTGTCGTTCTGTGAAAACAACAAAGCGCTCACCACAGCGCCAAATATTTGTTTTTATCATAAATCATTAATAAGTATAATTAATCTAAATCCGGACAAAAGTCAAAAAGTTTTAGTTGACTGTCACTAAATATAGGAGTGCCATTTAAATCCTCTCTATACATATGAAGAGAATATTCTTTGTTCATTTTGCACTTACCTTATTATATGAGTGTTTTTTCTGCATAATAGTAAAAACCTACCTTAATCATATTCTTCATCTTCACCTTTATTTGCATTTTCATCTTAATCTCAATCACAATATTTATCTTAATCTTAATATTGATATTATTCTTAATCATATTCTCAATCTTAATCTTAATCGAAATGTTAATATTAATCTTAATGTTTTTCTTATTCTTAATCTTAATCTTAATCTTAATCTTAATATTTTTCTTATTCTTAACCTTAATCTTATTCTATTTCTAAATCATTTAAACATTTTTTTTTGAGGTTGGGGCCATTTTTTATGAAAAATTGCGGCGGAAAAACAACAACAGTTTATAAATGGTACAAGTTATAGCTGCTATTTCGGAGATAACCACATTTCATTCTAGAACTTCTTCATCGAGTTCACTGGGATTCGAATCCTTGAATTAACCTTAGTCTTAGTCTTTATATTAATTTTAATAATAATATTAATGTACATATGTATGTGCAGCTTTCACAAAATATCGAAGAATATATGCCAAATAAGGATGCTGTTTCAGGCTGATAAATCTAGGATCATTGAAGAAGGTTATGAGTTCTGTTAACTTTTGTAAAAAAAAAAAAATAGCAAAATTAGTTTTTGTCTCGCATTTGGCTGCCATAAATATGGTCACCGTACTTATAGTTAATGGCAAATACTTTTGTAAAATATCTTAACAAATTATATCCCTGTTTTATGCATACAATTGCATTTTGGTCCTCTCTACCAGAACCGTTGTCAAAACTTTGTTAATTTGGAAAAACTTTTGGTTTTGTTGAAGACTGATGAATTTTGACCTCTATGATTGGTTACTTTCATTAAATATTTTCATTTTTATTTGAAATCAATTAATTATGGCGACAAAGGCTGTTTTAGGAAACCTCATCCGTGTCCATTTGTATGTATTCCTCGCTTAACTGACCCCCGGTTAATTGGTTTCCACGCATAATTGGGTAAAAATATGTGCTATGGGAAATACATATATATACCTTAAATTTTTCTCGCTTTCCCGGTTAATTGAATCGAAAATTGTGCAATTTTTGAAGTGCAACTAAGCGGGGAATATTGTAAGTCATAATATTATTAACAAAAAGCTCACGATTACTATAAATTTAAAATTTTTTAAGGAAAGCTAAACACATTTCTTTCAATTCAATAGAAAGTCCTTGGGATCTTTTAAATACGATTATTATTTAACTTCAAATAAAAGGGTCTATGGGAAGACAAATGTAGAATGATGAAGTTTACCTATGAGTATATTTCAGCAAATCCTTTTCTGTTATTTTAAGTAAAACAATATACTCATAGTATTTAATAATCAGGAGTTTGCATGTTATATTTTTTTTCTTAACATTAAAATATTAAGGCACACAAAAAATCGAACTTTTATTTCTCCGTTCTAGTAGCCCAACGTCGTGGTAGCTATTACGCATGTTATAAGATCCACATATGTCAGCTATTTAGCTTTTCTTTCCTTCAGTTTTCCCCATAGGCTTCGATTTCGGAATATCTCCCAGATGTTCGATTTTAGTTTCTAATGAGCAGAAAACGTATAAAAATAATTGTAAAATGAGAACAAATCCGAAGCAAGCGAAGCCAACGGGAAATATATTTTCCTTCATGCGAAACAGCATCTTCGAATATCTTTGAATTATAAACTGATTTCCGCAATGAGGAAGGAACTTTTGTGCTGGCGACAAGGAGATCACTGATGCTTCCTCAGGCTTGGCCGCCGAGTTTATAAGGCCAGACAGGTAGTTTGTGTGGATCAAAATATAGGCAGAAAAGTCAATATAAAATGGCCCTGGAAATCTTTGTTTGTAGTACATAAATATTCCTGACACACATGCGCCGTAAATAATCCGTGCGCGTGTTTAAAAAAATAATCTAGGTAACCTTTCTGCGAGATATTGAAAGACCATTAATTACCGTACCTAGCAAAGCACTCATATTTTTACGAATTTCTAGGTACATACATACATGCGTGCATCGTTTTCAGAATTCCACAAATTATTTGGAAGGCTCCTGGTTTTCGTTTTGTTTTATATCCAGGTAGAATTGTAATCTGCAGAAACCAAGTTATAACGCGGAAAGCCATACATACATATGTACATAAATACATATGCTTTATTCCAACGAAAAATCTGGAATTGCTACTTGTGGTAACGTGTTTACCTAAAGAATGAATGTGAAATCGAAAGGAATTGGCAACCGCCTCCACTTTCGCCCCTGAAAGGTATTTCTTTAAAATGGGGATGTCATTGGCGGCGTTGGCTTTGAGAAAATTTTTCATTCTCCGTAATGGGTTAAAGAAGCAAAGGATATCCTTGGATTGGCCAATAAGTACACAATATCTAGTACAACGGAATTGATTGAAAAATTAAAAGACTCAGTTATCACGTTGGATACTAAGTTGGTATCATTCGACATAAAAAATCTATACCCATCGATACCCATAACGGAAACAATAGATATCCTATTCAAAATACTGACAGAAAAAACAAGAAACAGAGAAATCGCCGTGGAGATAACTAACGCACTCAGAACGACGTTGCGTCAAAACTACTTTAAATTTAATAACAACGTATACATGCAAACAAACGGGCTAGGCATGGGCAATCCCACATCGGCGATTCTTATGGAGGTATTCATGTAGAATTTGGAAGAAAGGTACATGGAGTATCTTATGTCACAACTAGGAGCGACGTTCTACGCCAGATACGTTGATGAACAGATATTGGAATACCTCAACAAACAGCACAGCAACATAAAGTTCACAATGGAACAAGAAATGGAAGGAAAGCTAAATTACTTAGATCTGACGATCAAAGTAAATAAAAACACCAGTAGTCTGCAATATGAAATTTTTAGGAAGCCCACAGCCACAGATACAATAATACATAATACTTCGAACCACCCTCATCAGCATAAAAAAGCCGCCTTTAGACAAATGATCAATAGAATTGAGCAAATACCACTAACAAAAGAAGGATACAAAAACGAACTGAACGCAATATATGCCATAGCGGCTAATAACGGATACAAGAGAGATGTGGTAGAGGAAATCCGAAGGGAGCACAAAAACAGAAAGCCAAACAAAGAAAAAAACAATGACACAAATTGGGCGGTATTAACCTATACTGGAAAGTCAACGTACAAACTAGCAAAGCTGTTCCAGAAACACAACCTTCGCACATCATTCAGAACAAATAACAACGTAGGACGGATACTACGGAACAGCACAAATCGAGAAGACCCATTGGATAAACAAGGAGTGTATAAACTAACTTGCAAATGCCAGCATAGTTATATAGGTCAAACAGGACGGAAAATAAAATCAAGATTTCGCGAACATATAAGGGACTATAACAAAAAGACACAGAAACCGAAAGAAACCATCATCCCTAAAACATTGACCCTTTACATTCTTTATAAAACGCGTCATCGATGTAGCCGTTTAAAAGCGTTAAGAAGTATTACCTCCATATCTCAAGCGTACTCTGATCCATCTTCATATCTACAGCTCCGGCCTTGAAATCATTTGATTGCTGTTTCGAGCCGCACTCTATCTGTCAGCATCTAAAATTTTCGCATTCACTTCTTTCTGTCTCTCGTTTCTTACTTTTGATTAGACGTCTCTCCCCTCCTCCCGGTATCTCTCAGCTGTCGCACGCGTAGCTATTGTCTGCAGGATGGCTCTCAGCGACACTGCACTCTTCGTCATATCAGTTGTTCATGCGTGGGCGGTAATACCCAGCCACCTCTACCGAAGCGGCAATAAGAGATTGAGAAATGGATTCCCACTGCTCATTTACATCCAGTCTATGAGGAGTTTTTTGTTTAAGAAGGATTGAGAGTCGATTGCGAAATTTCTGATGTGACTGCAGCTTCTCGACATTGAATTTTCGCCGCGTTGCCTGTCGTACGTGCTCCATTGCACAGAGGCGTATGCGGATCTCAGCTGCAAACAAGATAGTCAGCCCAATTATGACTACTCCCCTGGAGTCTGAAATCCTCCCAGGGAGTAGCCTTTCCCACCAAAAATTAGGGAGGAGAAAACTCGAAGTTCGTAAGAGCTATTTGGCACTTTTGACGTAGAAT